CACACACACACACACACACACACACACACACACACACACACTAGAGGCCCGTTGCCCGAAAATTCGTGCAAGAGTAGGCCTTTCTTCCCTGGGCTGCTGGCACCGGCTTCCCTCGGGCACCCGGGACCAGGGCTTCCCTCCCTCTGGCCGGCCGCAGGCACTCGGGACCCCGGGCAGCTTCCTCTAGGCTGGGCCCCGGCTTTGTCAGGAAGTATGTCCAGAATGATGTTAGGAAGATGTCAGGTCTATCCGGTCTAATAAGCATATTACCCTTTTATTAGTATGTATGTGTGTGTGTGTGTGTGTGTGTGTGTGTGTGTGTGCGCATGTGTGTATCTTGATTTTAGAGAGGAAGGGAGAGGGGGAGAGAGAAACATCAATGATAGAGAATCATGGATCAGCAGCCTCCTGCATGCCTCCTACTGGGGATTGAACTCGCAACCTGGGCATGTGCCCTTGACCAGAATTGAACTCGGGACCCTGCAGTCTGCAGGCTGATGCTCTATCCACTAAGCCAAACCAGCCAGGGCACCACCAGTCACCTTTAGAACACTGTATTGCTTCTAGAAGAAACTCCATGCCACCTTCCCCATTTAGCTGCCTGCCCTACCCAGCCATCTGCACACTGCTGTTTCAGACATTTCATGGGAATGGGACCATACACAATGGGCGTTTTGTGACCGGCTGCCTCACTTGGGTGTATACCTCGGTGTGGTGGGTTGCAGGGTCCTATGTGACTGATATTAATCATTTGAGGAGCGGCCACACCATTTCCATTCTAATAGCAGTGTGTGAGGGCTCGGATTTGTCCACATCCTCACCAACACTTGCTATCATGTAACTTTTGGGTCTAGCCTCCAAGGTGACCTTTGGGTCCCGCCGAAGCATTGCTCTCTAGAGCAAAAATCTATGCTTCTCAATTCAGTTTTAAAAGTGGATGCTTTTTAAAATGTCTGCACAAACATCCCTATTGGTAAGTTCTTGCTGCTCAGGATCTACTGTGACACAGCTTACAAGGGCTAAGTCTGCCCCAGGCCAATCTCACCCCCCCAACCCCCCGGCTGTCTGGTCCTGTCTGGTACCTGGGGAGGGCGCTGGGGGCACCAGCCAACCCTCTGCAGGGCTGTTCACAGACTGCGTTGGGCTTTGGGAGCTGAGGGAGGAAGAGCGAGGTTCAGGAGCAGCTTTGGGGCCGTGCCTGTCACAGTGACTGTGCTGCTCCCTACAGGCTGAGGTGAACGGTATGTGGGGGGCACCTTCTCTGAACGAAGCTATGGGAGCCCAGGAGCTCCTGGGTGCCCGTCTGCAGGCTCCACTGTGCCTACCGTCCTGGCTTCTACGCTGCCTGGCAAAGGTCCGATCAGCAAAAATGAAAACTTTAAAGAGGTGATGTGGGCTCCACCTCAGAGTGACTCAGACATGGTTCACGGTCCCACGTGGGACTGCAGACACCAGTGCGTGTGGGCAGCGGCCACGTGGGCCCGGCATGGCCCTCTTTGTTGGGAGAGAAAGTCCACGGGGCTTGAGGGCTCCCTCTTCAAACACTGATTGCTGGTCACAGTCTGGCCCCCAACTCCCATCCACCGGCCCTCCTCACGAAGTAAAGGGTGCCAGGTGAGGCCTCTTCCTGGCCGTCCCCACAGACCCGTTGGCTCTACTGAGTCTGTGGGGGCAGACTGTGGGGCACCCCACTTGGGCAGCGCAGCCACAGCTGCAGCCCTGAGGCCAGGCTCTGGGCTTGGACTGGGTTCCCCAGTGCCACAGCCCCCTGATCTGCAGCCCCCTGTGCAGTGACTCTGGGCTCACTTTGAATGCGTCATTATTCCAGGCTGATAGGGGGCTGGCGGTGCTGGGAGCCTGCGGCTGCTCAAGTCCTTGCTGTTAGGTTGTGACCGTTATGATGTCCGGGCTAATTTGCATATTTCTCTATTATATATATAAATATATGGCTAATATGCAAAGTGTCCCCTTAGGAGTTCGACTGGGAGACTGGGAGTTTGATCGCTCACTATGATGTGAGCTGACCACCAGGGGGTGGTGTGGAATGAAGGAAGGCCCTGCCTGGCAGCCAAAAGACCCCGATCGGCCCTGATTGCTGGCCAGGCCTAGGGACCCTACCCATGCACGAATTTCTTGCACCAGGCCTCTAGTATAATAATAAATCATAATTTGCTAATTAGACTTCCAGACTAAGTCGGGGCTGTGAGGGCTGAGGCAAGCCGCCACAGCTGTGAGGGCCGAGCCCCTTGCACGAATTTCATGTATTGGGCCTCTAATATCTATCTATCTAATCTATCTATCTATCTATCTATTTTTTTTCCTTTTTTTGCAGCCATAGTCTAAATTATCACTGCTTAGTCAGTTACACTTATCAGTTTAATCTTTCCTAGTCTGGCATTTCTTGCAAACTATCATTCAGCCAGTGACAAAAAGAAGTGATATGTATCCTTGAAAGTTTCTATCTTAGAAATCTCAGAATTTGTATCAAGACTCAACTCTCTAAATCGTTGTAATGAGAATATAGTGAAGGAAAAGAAAATAAGATGTAAAATCATGAGCAAAAACCCCCCAAGGTTAATACAAATGAAATATTAGCTTGAACAATCTGTTTAGATTTTAAGACATAGGCTGAACCTCTTAAAGAAATTACTTTAATTAAGCAGGGTAATTTATTTGAAGGTATTTGATAAAACTGCTGAAGAAAAAAAGAACTTCTGAGCAATGAATTTCTTGGAGGTCATGTAATGAAAGCTCATTGCCACATACTTCAGAATCTTAATGATATTAGAGTAGTAGTAATTTAGGTATAGGAGAAACTCTATTAAATTAAATTCTTCGATGAAATATAGTCAGTGGCACTTACACTTTCACAAGAAAGCACTGCTGAAGGTCCTTCTGAATAAAACATATCTCCCATAATATGTTATAGCCTACCTCTAAAGATAGGAGGTAGGTGGTATGCTTGCAAAATCATTAATGCAAAAGCCTCTTTGTCTTACCCGTTCATCTGCACTGCCTGTTGCATGATGGGAATAACTGATGAGACCAGGGATGGGCTGCTCACCATGTGCCATGATAACAGCAGGACTGGTGTAGAATGGATGCTTCTAATGCACAACACAAATAACTATGAATATAGTGACAAGAAAACATGAAACTATACAAGCAAAATGACTGGAAAGGAAAAAAGGTGAAAACAAATGGAACAATGAAATGTCAAATCAGCTTAGATTTCAAATGCTATAAGCTTTTTTCTTAAGATTGAAATTGGTGGTATTTTTTACTCTTTTAATTAAGAGTAAAAGAAAAAGAACATACATTGATTTTTTAAATGTATATTATTCATCAATTAGTTCCAGCAAAACAAAACAAAATTCACATACATCTTAAATACTAGCCTTAAGTAAAAACTTGATCATTAAATTGACCTGAAGATAGAATCATCTGTCTTCAGTGAAAGGATCACCTGCTGGTTGTCTGAATGTACACTTCAAAAAGATCTCTATGATTCTATCTATATGTTGTCAAAAAACCCTCTCATGCAATCCTCATAGGCAAAATATCTGGCTAATCAATAAAATGTTAGGAATTGCTTAAGATAGTAATTGGATTTTTACTCTTTATGCTCTTAATCAATGAACAATCATTATTCCCAGAAGTGATATTTTACTTTTTGAAGATTTTAAAGCACACTGGGTAAAGCATACTAGGTATGGATAATAATGTAAATGATGTTCTGTGACTTAAAATGACTAAATTTATTCGAGTTCCTCATGGTACCCTACTCCCTGCATTTCCCCAAAAGAGTTTTTAATATGTTGGTACTGTCCTAATAATATTACTTTATTAGATTAAAAACGCAAATACCTTATATCCATTTCCTGTCTACACCACTATGGTAATCTGTCATTTATTTAAGTAACTGTTTAGATAATTGCTGAAAACCCTTATATTAAAATATCTTTATTAACCTTTTTAACTAATCTCTCGAATCATCTAGCAATGGTTCTCAACCTTCCTAATGCCGCGACCCTTTAATACAGTTCCTCATGTTGCGGTGACCCCCAACCATAAAATTATTTTCGTTGCTACTTCATAACTGTAATTTTGCTACTGTTATGAATCGTAATGTAAATATCTGATATGCAGGATGTATTTTCATTGTTCGCGACCCACAGGTTGAGAACTATTGAATTATTGTCCCGTTAAGAAATTGTGAATATTTGATTTTTTGAATATGTGAACATTATATATTTATTATTACACAAAAATTACATCTCCAAAAACTTCTTCAATGTCACACTGTTTATCACATTGTTTATCATTGCAATTTTTACTTCACTAGGTAACAGCAGTATCTTGAATGCCTCAGAACTCAGAACAAACTTCAATACTTTCAAGAATTCTAGATTATGGAGGAAGCAGCGGCGTGTCCTGAGTATCTCTATTCTTTTTAAAGAATGTAGTAAAGAGGTTTTAAACTTACGGAATGATGAGATGAGAAGAGGGATGAAATCAGTACATTTACCTGTGGGTCCTTTAGATTGCTGGGTCTCTCTCAGCAAGCTTACCTTGGCAGCAATGGCTGCTGCAGTTATATGTGATGAAGAACTATCTTCTGTTGAAGCAACACCACTGTCTTTCTTCTCTTCTTCCTCTTCTTCACATTGAACCCCTTTGTCTTCTGTCTGTTTATGGGGGCTAGTTGTGGGAGGAGGAGAAAGAGGAGGTGGTGGGGAAGGTAAATCTTCAAGTTCATCATGCACTTCCTTTACTTTTACAATGGCATCACGTAAAAGGTCAATGGCATGAGGTAGAGCTGGCAGTATGAACTGAAAGCATTCCTGTATGCAAGAGAAAGAAAAAAATGAAGATGAAGTACTTTTATAGGCATAAAAAATGGTAGCAATCAAACTTATTTGTGAGTTTTGGATTTGCATTTCTTTTCATCAGTCTTAAGAATGAATCATATTTAAAGCATTATTGTTGTAATATGAATAAGGAAGTAAGCATGTTGTATATTATTCTTTGAGGAACTATAGTACTATATAAGTACACAATATTTTTTTGACCAAAAATGTTTATACAACTTTGGGGTTCAAGGATATATTATGGGAAAAGAAAAAAAAAGTTTTTACCTCTCCAATTAGAGCAGAGCATTAGAACTAACAAACCACTTGAGGACTGAGCTATTTTATTCAGAGATTTAAAGTTCTGACTACCATCATAAAGTACAGCTAGTCAACATTAGATATAACTTTGTACAAAACACTGCATTAAAGTCAATACAGTCTCCTGCTCAGCTGCACACTATTACCTATAATGTATCATCAGAAAGAGAACAGGTGAGAATGTTAACCTTAGAACATTGGGTCATATATGTTTGGGGAATGTGTTGGGGCAGAGGTGCTTCTCTTTTATATTTAAAGTAACTTACCTTAAAATGTAAGATGTAAAAGAAACTATCTTGAATTAATAGAGGGTTACTGAAATACATGAAAGCATGCCCAATATTTTGATCTCTTTTTACATAGCTCAATCACTTTACCGATAAAGATTGGATTGTAAAGGATTTAACCTTAACCAAAGAGAGGTTTGGCCTTTACTTTCAGATTTTGAGCCGTGATCTCTAGTGCCTTGGAATTTCGTGCATGATAGAAATGTATTTGTTTGCTTGGGGGCTTTAGCTACTGGACAGCCTAACACTGATTTATTATGAGGGCTTCAGGAAACATTATTAGTTTTGCCCCTGGAAGGAACTAGAGAATAAAGTCACCAGTCTCCCCTCTGGAAAAGACTAGGCTAAATGTCAGCTTTGCAGGAAATATGTGATCAAGTCCCAATAAAAACTCTGGATACCATAGGCAAAAAGTCAGGGTACCTTGCTAGCAATAGTCTGTCTGTATCGTTTCTTATTATGGAGAGTAGGTTAAGAGGATAACCAGAGTTCCTCATTTGGTACCTCTCTTAGCTCTGCCCTTTCTGCTTCTTCCCTTGGCTGACTTCAATCCATATTCTTTCCATGTAATATAACACATAACTGTGAGTATAACAGCTTTCAGTGAGTTCTATGAGTCCTATTGAATGATTAAAACTGGGGGTGATTTTAAAAATCCCTTGAATTTCTGGTGTCAGAAATGAGGGCAGTCTTATAGTTGGCTAACTTTTGCAGCTGGCCAAAACTCCTTACAATTGGTATTAGAAGTGGGATTCACTAGAAAGAGTTTGATGCATGAAACATGTGATCTGGGAGGAGGAAGGAAGAGAGGGTAAAGAATGATGAGTCTTTAAAGCCTGAATGAACACAAAGTCACTCACAGAAAGCAGATGCAGCTGTGCTGCGATTAGTTATTGAAGATTAAAGTTAGCAATGGAATTTCGAAATGAAAGATCCAACTCCTAAGGAGCTGTGTTACTGGATGGATAAATAAATGTAAAATAACAAGAAACAAGGTACATCTATAGTCCCTTGGTTACTGATATCTGTGCTAGCTAAAATTAATATAAGGGAGAATGTTGGGGTGGTTCCTGAGGCTGAGCCAAGCTGAGATTTTGGCTTGCCCAATATATAGTTGTTAACCTCAGAGCTACTTCCGAAGGAAAAAAGTTAGGTTAAAGCAATAAACAGTGAATAAAGTTAGATTAATTCATAAGAGAATAGGACTTGTCCTAGCAGGAAAGAATTGGAGAATATCATACTAATTAAAATAAATCAGACAGAAAAAGTGAAGAATCATATGATTTCACTCATATGTGGGATATAAAACTGAAAGCAACACATGAACAAACAAAACGAACAAAATCTCATAGACACAGACAACAATATGGTAATTACCAGAGGGAAGCAGGGGTTAAGAGGATAGTAAAGGGTAAAGGGGGTTCAATATATGGGGACAGAAGATATTCGACTGTGGGTGGTGGGCACACAAAATGCAGTAATAGATGTATCATAGAATTGTACACTTAAAACCTATATAATGTTATTAACCATTGTTACCCCAATAAATTCAATTGAATAAAAAAATAAATGGCTGAATAAAGTGAGCACTGATGGGGGCAAAATAAAGGTCTTAATGTAGCACTGTTGTGGGTTGAGCACAGATAGGAGCAGTTGCTTGTCTCCTGATAGGAGTGTCTTTGATTTCCTAGTGACTATGGCACTGCACTATCTAACGATGTAGTTTAATATGAGGGCTTTGGTCCTAAACAAATCTCTATTTACTTTAGTTTAGAAATATTTAAAAAGCGAGAAGACAAAGACAACTGTAAGAAAACTCACCTTGAATCACCTAACGTGATGGATGATCCCATAATCTAGTCAAGATAAGGCCTGAAAAAAGGGTCTGGATCCCTTTGCCCAGTGTAGGTCTAGAAATCCAAGGCCATATGCACATAAATTGGTCAAATGGTCAGAAAATGGAGAAGAGATTTTGGGGGGACTTCTTGACATGGGAGTACCATGTACTGTGATTCTAAAACTTGTTAAGGTCCTAATTGGGGGATAATATTAGGTTGAGAGGGTATAGGAGTGCAATAGGGATTAAGGTGACAGTTTGGATGAAAATAGCATGTTTGTACAGTGAACTTTATGAGAAGTGGTGAGTCTCCTTTACCTGAATGTATTATGGGAATGGATATTGTGTTTGAAGAATTCTTCCCCTATCTAGTATTGTATGACAGAAGGCATGTAAACCCACTCTTCAATCCAATATAGATTGGATGTGCTAAGTGAAAATCAAAAGATTGTCTGAGCCCACACAGTTCATTAATTTGCTGTACAATAGCTTTGTGTAGAGTGCAAAGTAGGACTTATGGCAAAACCTATGAGAGCTACCCAGCAACAACTGCTGAGATTTTGGTCCAGAAAATCTGTATTTGAGGAAACAATTACTAGCTTATTATTGAACATTAATTGAAACTTCCCTTATTACTAAATGACATAGAATAATGTAATCTTGAAACCTGAAATATCCATAATGTCTTAGGTAAGGTCAGAGAAATGTTCTAATGGGGAAGGCAATGCCTAGGAGAGTTCCATAATAAAATGGAAATGGTGGATATAGGATCATGCTACCAGGAGAATGCAAGGAGGTACTCACGAGCAGGTAGCCTCTTTTCACCTAGGGCCGACTTCGGAAGCACCTGAGGAGCTGCTGGATCCTATGGCCACTTAGGCCACTTGGGCGGTGCCCTATAAACAGCTTTCTATTGATCAACAAAGAGCTGCTTGGTTTATGGATGGCAATTCCAAGGTGAAGGGACAGCATCCTGTTTGGAAGGCCGCCACTCTGATTGAAGAAGGTAAAAACAAATCAGCTCGATGGGCTGAACTGCATGATTTTTGGCCCTATATTTGGGTTTTAATTGAATCATGGGAAGTGTCTAATGGCCTGGCCATATGGTCAGGCAGAAGGACAATGGAAAACTGGTCTACTAAAGGGTTTCCTGTATGGGGCATAGCCCCATGAAAATCACCCTGGCAATGCAAGGGGTATATTAAAGTAAGATATGTTAATGCCCATCAAAAGAACCCCCTTCCAGAATTGGAAACTGATTGAAACTGGTGAGCAGGTATTGATGTGCCTTCTTGATATGGCCACCTGGACCCATGAGATGAGTGAACATTAGGGGGCTGCAAGATGGGATGAATGTAGATATATTCGTCTTGCATTTTCTGAGACACACAATGCCAACAAGGACTGTTCTGTCTGCTAATAAGAGAGACAGAGACGGCACAGGGCTATACAGCAGATTCCACAGGGAAAGGTCTTTCACATAGATGGCAAGTTGGCCTGATGCCAGTAGTCTCTGGAGGCTACAAATTTGTCCTAACAGGAATAGACACTTACTCTAAATTGGGCTTTGCTTACCCAGTGGTAGATACAAATGCTCAGTGTACTATGAAAGGCCCAGAGCAGAAGATAGTGTATCAATGACCATTATACCAAGGAACACACTTTCATCTAGAGCAATGATTTGATAGAAAATTGGAATGGACAATGAAACACTTGTCTCAAAGGGGAGGAGATAAAGACATGAAGGGCTGGCTTACTTATACACCTTCATTGGTGTGTGATCATACTCAACATGAGGGAGTCCAAGGGATGGTCCCCATTAGACAGATTCCTCTACTTTTCTGGGGAAGAGAGGGTTGGGGGAAGATGCTCTTATGACACACTTTTTACTTTAGGACATTACTTTTTTCCCCCATGTCACCTCAATTTCCCCCCCTATCAGATGTAGTGGTCCTAAACCAGGACTGCAACTGTGAGTGCCTACTAGTTCTATACATAAGTAATCCTACATTATATGAAAGGAAATGAACTGGGTGGGAGGCACTTGCTTTGCTAAACAGGTATTCTGGTGGCAATCTGGATCACATACTGGCCAAACTAATTGTTTCATCAAAGATTTTCAAAGGAAAAGTTTGAGTATAATGGAGGGAAGAAATGGTACCTAAAGGTAAATGAGTGAATAAATGGTTTATGCAATGAGGGTAATCCAATATATTGGTGTATCAAAAGAGATGTAGAATAAGAGATGATGTTGTTTCTTAGCTCAGTTGTAACAGATGCCAGAAAGGGAAAAGCCATATGTTGTTGAGACTACTGCTTTTGGGACATGACAAACCTTAAATCTGAGTAGCATCATTCTGGGAGGCATTGTTGTCAAATGATATGATGATGGACAAGGGTAACTTTAATGTATGTGCAGGAATTCAACTATGTGCCAATATCTTCTGACTTTTATTTTTCACATTATATTTACTACTATACTGTGATATGTTATAATACTAGCACTTTAGTAAGATTATAAAACTGGTTATATGTACTGAGAAACAGAGTTAAAGCCTCCTCAAAATTGTAATACCGATGGAAAATGACTGACCTGAGCAACAGAGCTAATTTCTATGGTAAATAGTTCTATGTGAATATATCATAAACTACAAATAGTAGTTAAAGGTGAAAAATCAATAAATTATTACAAAAAATATGAAAATGTATGTAATGGCTATAGAGGATGGATTAGCTATTTCTTGAAATCTACCCAGTCCCACACTGGCTTCTCCAAATCTTAGGCATATTCACACTTATATTGTTTTTGTGTCTATAATAAAAATGCTATAGTCAATATAGATGTCCAGTCAAACAAATACAATCATTTAGCTTTCATATAGCCTTGGCCAAAGGCTAGGGAGTAGCATGTCTAATAAAGAATTAACTTTATTCAAAGAGAATCTGGCTTTTGCCCTCAGTAACTGATAAGTGATATGAGTGTCTGTGTACTGGGAAAGTACGAAGACACCAGACAGTCTAACAGTGTGATTTATTATGGGGCTTTAGGCAATGTGCTATCAGTTTTACTTCTGGAAAGTGTTGGACATTAAAGGTATCAGCCCAACTTCTGGGAAGGGCTAGAGACTAAAAGTCAGCCATATGAGCAGTATTTGACGAGCCCTAGTAAAACTTTGGACACCAAAGGCTTGGATCTTCCCTGATTGGGAATGCTCTCTGTGTTGCTACACATTGATGCCAGGAGATTTTAATGCATTTATGACTCCACAGGGAGAGGATAACAGATGTTTCTACTTGGTAACTCTCCTGTACTCTGTCTAATGCACTTCTTCCCTTGGTGGATTTTAACCTGCATCCTTTCCCTGCAATAAGCCATAATTGTGGGTATACCTCTTCAGTGAGTTCTGTGAGTCTTTTTAATGAATTATTGAAACTGAGAATGGTTTTGGAAATGTACTGAATCGGAATTGGTGTCAGAAGTGAGGGTAGTCTTGTGGAGTGCTCCAACTCTTCAGTTGGCTAAATTTCACAGCTGGCCAAAACTTTGTACACTAAACCATATAATTCTCAAGAACATTAAATCATATAATTCTCAAGGTTTCTTACCTGAGATCCTTTCTTGCTACCTGGCAAGTTAATTATGAGAGTTTTCCCTCTGATTCCACATACAGGCCTAAAAGGAAAGATAAACTGGATGAATACTAAATGGTAATGAAAAGCTGGTTTAAATATATTAAACAACAAGCATCAATCACTGTTCTTTTCATGAGAACAATTGTTTTAGAAATATAATTGTTGTGGCTAGAGATTCACCAATTGGTATACAAATTGGGAAATCTGGCTGAGGTTTTTACAATAATGGTCAGTGTGGTGGATGGGAAAAAAAGCACTGAACATGGAATCAGAAAAAATTAAAGCCACTTTAAAGAAATAATGGTCAAATTATCTTTCTCTAACTTCAGGTTCTTAATAACTCATACGGTTATAAGATTTTAATGAGACAGTGTATCAAAATACTTAACATAATATTTAACTTTAAAAATGTAACACATAAGGTGCTCAAGAGCTAATTGAGGCATCTGAGTTCTTCTTAGGAAGTCATTAAGTTTTAAAGTAAAATAAGGTATCTAGTCAATGAATGGCAGTGGGGAGTTTGGAGAGCTCAGTTGTTAACAGATCCATTGATAAAGAGTCAATTTAAAGTAAAAGGTCTTTCATAGGTCACTGTCAATTACCAAGCCACTTTAATCTAAGTGGTTAAATAAGACACATAAACACTAGAAAAGGACTGGAAGACAGAGATAAAAATTGAAGGCCTGGATTTCATATGAGAATTGTAATCATGCTCTGGCAACATCTCATGGTCATTATTTGAAAACAAAAGTATTGATTAGTCTATTCCTAAAATTGCACAGCTAATATTTAAAAGTCATATAAGAATATTTTCCCAAAACTTCTATGATAGAGTTTATACTTTACTCTCACTCTCTGAAATAACCTAAAATTATCTCCTATTTTGTTTTTTTATTTTCCTATTCACAAAGAGAAGAGTTTATAGCTATTTATTTAAAACTTTCCATACTCTTTTGTTTTCAATTGTAATATAATTGACAAATAACATTGTATTAGTGTTAGGTGTAGAACATAATGATTTGATATATGTACTGCAAAATAATTATCACAATAAATTTAGTTAACATCCAACACTTCAGTTACAGTTTTTCTTCTTGTGATGAGAACTCTTACAATTTACTGTCTTGGAAACTTTCAAACATACAATACAGGATTATTAACTACTGTACATTATACCTCCAGAATCATATCTATATCTATCTATATCTATCTATCATCTATCTATCTATCTATCTATCTATCTATCTATCTATCTATCTATGGCTAATATGCTAAATGTCCCCGCAGTTCAACCAGGAGTTCTATCATATGCTATGACAACTTGCACTGACCATCAGGGGGTGGCATAGAATGAAGGCAGGCCCTGGCTGGCAGCCAGCAGCAGGGGAAGGGAGGCCCCAGCTAGTAGCCAGAAGGCCCCGATTGGCCCTGATGGCTGGTCAGGCCTAGTGACCCTATTTTGTGCACCGGGCCTCTAGTTTATTTTTAAGTGGAAGTTCTTACCTTTTAAACACCGTTGCCCATTTTACCCACTCCTCAATCCTGCCTCTGGCAACCATCAATCTGTTCTCTATGTCATGGGTCTGCTTATTTTTAGATTCCACATATGAAATTATATAGTATTTTTTTTCTCTGATTTCACTTAGTAAATGCACTCAAGGTCCATCCATGTTGTTGCAAGTGGCAGGATTTCCTTTTTTTGTTGTATGTGTGTGGCTGAATATTTCATTGCATATATATATATGTTCTTCCCCAGCATAGGAAATTTTTAGTCATGATTTCTTCAAAAACTATGTATATATTTTTTCTTTATTCATTCATCAATTGATGGAATCCTAGGTTCTTTCTATCTTTTTGTGATTATAAACAATGATCCAATGAACATGGGGGTGCAGGTATCTTTTTGAGACAGTGACTATCATTTCCTTTGGATAAATAACCAGAAGTAGAATAGCTGGATCAGATGGTACTTCTACTTTTAATTTCTGATGAACCTCCATACTCTTTTCATAGATTAACCAATTTACATTCTCACCAACATTGTACAAGAGTTCTCTTTTCTCCACATCCTCTTATCTCCTGTATTTTGATAATGGACATTCTAACAAGTGTGAGATGATAACTCATTGTCCTTTGGTTTTATGTGTTCCTGATGATTAGTGATATTGATTGACCACTTTTCATGTACCCGTTGGCCATCTGGATGTCTTCTTTGCAAAAATGTATATTTGATTATCCTCTGCTCATGTTTAAATTAGATTATTTGGTTTTTTGATTGAGTTATATGACTTCTATATATAATTTGGATATTAACCTCTTATCAGATATATTATTTGAAAATATTTTCTCCCGTTCTGTAAGTTGCCTTTTCATTTGGTTGACGGTTTCCTCTGCTGTACAGAAAGTTTTCAGTTTTATGTTTCCCCACTTGCTGATTTTTGCTTTTGTTGCCTTTGCTTTTGAAGTTAATTCCAGAAAAGCACTGCCAAGAATAATGTTCAGGAGCATACTCCCTATCTTTTTTTCTAAGAAATTTATGGCTTAAGGTATTACATTCAAGTCTTTAATCCATCTTCAGCTTCAGGTATTACATTAAAGTCTTTAATTCATATTAGTTGATTTTTGTGTATGGTATAAGATAGGGGTCATCTTTTGTTCTTTTGCATGTGGCTATATAGTCTTTCCAACACCATTTATTGAAGAGACTACCCTTTCCCCATAGTATATTCTTGATTCCTTTGCTAGAAATTAATAGACCATACATATGTGGGTTTATTTATAGATTCTCTATTTTATTCCACTTATCTGTGTATCTGGTTTTATGCCAATACCATACTGTCTTGATTACTAAAGCTTTGTAATATATCTTGAAATCAGGAAGTGATTTTTCATTTTTCTAAAGATCCTTTGCTATTAGGGTCTTTTATGGTTCCATTAGAATCATCCTATTTTCATGAAAAAATGCCACTGAAATTCTGATAAGGATTGCAATGAATGTGCAGATTTTAACAATATTAATTCTTCTGACCCATGAGCACAAAATATCTTTCTATATTAGACTTCAATTTCTTTCATCAATGTCTTATAATTTTCAGTGTACAGATCTTTCACTTCCTTTGTTAAATTCATTCCTAGGTACCCTATTCTTTTTGATGCAATTATATATGGGGCTTTTTTTAAAATTTCTCTTTCTGATAGTTCATTATTACTGTATAGAAATGCAACTAATTTTTATATATTGACTAGAGGCCCGATGCATGAAATTCATACAAGAGTAGGCCTTCCTTCCGCCAGCTGACAGCACCGGTTTCCCTCCGGCACCCGAGACCCAGGATTCCCTCACAGCCCCAGCTTCATCTGGAAGGTCATCAGGTCTAATTAGCATATCATGTTTTTATAGACTTTGTATCCTGCAACTTTATTGATTGAATTTATTCATTCTAATTTTTTTGTGTGAAGTCTTTATGGTTTACCATATATAATATGCCATTAGCAAATAGAAGCAGTTTTACTTCTTCCTTTCTATTTTGGGTGGCATTTTTTCCCCTTTTATTTGCATAATTGCTCTGGCTAAGACTTCCTATACTATCTTGAATAAAAGTGGCAAGTCTAGTTGTCCTTGTCTTGTTCCTGATATTAGAGTTAAAGTTTTCAGTTTTTCACCACTGAGTATGTTGTTAGCTATAGATCTGTCATATATGACTTTTCTCATGTCAAGATACATTTCTTCTATATTCATTTTGTTAAGTTTCCATTATGAATGAATGTTAACTTCTGTCAAATGCATTTTCTGCATCTATTGAGATGATCATATATATTTGTTATTTTGTTAAAATGGTCTATCATATTGATGAATTAGTGGCTATTAAACCATCCTTGCATCCCTGGAATAACCAGTTCATCATAATGTATTAGTCTCTTAATGCAGTGGTTCTCAACCTTCTGGTCCTTTAAATACATGTTGTGACCTCATGTTGTGACCCAACCATTATTTTTGTTGCTTCATAACTGTAATGTTGCTACTGTTATGAATCGTAATGTAAATATCTGATATGCAGAATGGTCTTAGGCGACCCCTGTAAAAGGGTCATTCTACCACCAAAGGGGTCATGACCCACAGGTCGAGAACCGCTGTCTTAACGCAATGTTGTAGTCAGTTGGCTAATACTTGGTTGAGAATTTTTGCATCTATGTTCATCAGATCTATTAGCCTAAAACTTTGTTTTCCTGTACTGTCTTTGCTTGGTTTTCATATCAGGGTAATGTTAGCCTTGTAAATGATTGGGGAAGTGTTCTTTCCTCTCCTATTTTTGGGAGAATTTGTATTACTTTTGAGGAGGAATTGTATTAATTCTTCTTTAAATATTTGGTGGAATTATCCAGTGAAACCATCTGGTCCTGCACTTTGTTTTTTGAGAGGTTTTAGGTTACTAACTCAATCTCCTTACTAATAATTGGTCTGTTCACATGTTCTACTTTTAAATTCTAAACTGAACTATATATTTACCTTTACTAGAGAAATTTAAACTTACATATAGTTTTCCTGTTACTGATTAGTACCCTTTGTTTCAGCTTAAAGAAGTCCCTCTAACATTTCTCGTAAGGCCTGTCTAGTTACGCTGAATTCCTTCAACTTCTTCTTGTCTTATATACTCTTCTTCTCTGAAGGACAATTGTTGAAAATGTTGGACAATTCTGAAGGACAATTTTGTTGGGTAGAATATCTTGGTTGAAAAGCTCTTTATTTCTTTCAGCACTTTAAATATATCATGCCACTCCCTTCTGGCCTACAAAGGTTTTTGTTTTAATCTTCACCTGAGAATATGTTTTCATTAAATTTTTTAGACCAAAAAGAAGGATGAGAGGGAGAGGGAGAAGGAGAGGAAAACACTGATTGGTTGCATCCTGTAAGCACCCTAACCGAGGATCAAACCTGTAACCTAGGAATATGCTCTGACTGGGACTCAAACCCACAACCTTTCTAGGGTACAGGATGATGCTCCAACGAACTGATCCACCTGGCCAGGACGAAAGTTTTTG